CGTTATCAAGCTCTCCATCACGAGTAAGGTTTTTTCATTATATTGATTGCTTATGGTCCAATTCAAACCCTTTCAATGCTTCCGATAACTTACAAATAAGGAGCATTGATTTTAAACAATATTGAGCTTTCAATGGTCCTCAATATAACACATATCGTGACTTACAATAAGGAGCATCATCCTATACAATATTGAGTTTTCAAAAGACCTCAATATGACTCACAAGTTTAAAGGAATAGTTTTACAATTAATGCTTCTCTCTTAATAAATTATACAAATGAATTAAGTATTAAAAGAGACTAACACTTCGATGAATAACAATAATTAATAGCTCTGGTGTTAAATAATTTTTTTTAGGAATATGATGATTTAATAACTTAATTCAATTAAAGTTTTTTATATAAGGGAATATAAGATGTAAATGCTATGTAAGTTCAAATTTTTTGCTCAAAAATATTTCTATCTTTTATAAACGATAACAATAAATCAAGTATCAAAAGAGAGATAAGAAACTTTGATTAGTATGGTGATTTAAAAAGTATAATTCAATCAATCAAAGTTTTACATATAAAGAAGTAGAGAAATTGAATGCGATATAAGTTCAAAGATTTGCTCAAAATATCTCACTTTTATGAATGATAACAATAAATTAAGTACCAACAAGAAGATGAAAAACTTCGATAAATTTGAGAATGTAGAAGAAATAAAGTTTAAGAGTTTGATTTAAACAATCAAAGTGTTTCAATACGAAAAAGTAGAAGAAATAAATGAAATGTAAACTCAATTATTTCTCTCAAAATGTTTCTCGCTTAAATGCACTTCCAATACCTTTACATTGAATACAAAAAGATAATCTATTTATAGAGAAAAATTTATAGAAACTTTTTGTAAGTTCGGATGATGATCTGGTTGATTGTCACAAGTCCGGTTGACCAAAATATAGCCGTTGGATAAGAAAAGTCAGAAGTTAGAACAGTTAAATCTTGGACCTTTAGGTTTTTTAGTCGGTCGTCAATTTTGGTCAGTTGCTCTTATTTTTTTTGTCGAGAGTATTTTAATTAGTTTTTCAAGTTAATGATGTTTTTAAAAATATGATCTAAGTTCAATGTCTTTTTGAAAATCAATTTTACATTTGATCAAAACATTTTATGCAAGTGATTCTCAAAATAACTTTTAATTCATAAAATGGTTTTTGAGTTTAATCATTCATTTCTGAAGAGATCAAATTGTTATTACCTTTACATTTGATCTAAGAAAGCCTAATCTTTGATGTTTATTTGAAGCTTGGCTATCATGAAGTTTAGCTTTAAGCTATAATCTTGGCCTTTCTTTGAAGTTTGGCCCTTAAACTCTTGTCTTGAATGTTTGAAAGACTTGACCTCAATCTTGACCTTCATTGTAAGTCCAATTTGATAGTGTTGATTTTTTTGACGATGATCAATCGATTTATCATTAAATGTTTTGAAGACTATACTCATTCAAATTTATTTATTAGTAAATAAGATTAACTTGTTTATAATATAATCAAAACTTTAATGTTATAATTACCATTGGGAACTCTCTCTCTCTCTCTCTCCTTTAAAGTTCATATGGAGTTTGTTCCCCCTGACTAATCTAGACTCTATTTAAAATATAGCAAGCGGTGTTAAATGCTTCATCCAAAAATATTTTGATATACTATTTTCATTTAGTATAGTTCGAGCTAGTTCTTGCAACTGCAATTTTCCTTTTCTACCACACCATTTGTTAAGAAGTTTTAGGAGCCGAGAAATTATGTTACTAACAATTAATTTTGCAAAAGTCATCAAGTGCAATATTATCAAATTCTCCACAATGATCACTACTAATTGCAGTAATGGTGTACCCTTTTTAACTTGATAAATATTATTTAGCACTTTTAAATTCAATGTTTATGATATAAACATTCTTATTTCAACTTCCTATAAATGTCACTTCTTTTGATGTAGTTTCCTCAATAAGGTATTTGGAATAATCAAATTTGATATGATAACCTTTATTAGACAATTGACCAATACTGAATAGATTATATTTAATGCTATCTACTAAGAGAACATTTTCGATGGAGGAAGATGAATGACTACTAATATTTCTAATATCAAGAACTTTTCCGTTGACATTGTCTCCAAAAGTGAAATGAGCCCCATCCTTTTTATTAAAAGCATGTCAATGAAGCTTGATCTTCGGTCATGTGCAATCTACTTTAGGACCTATAAAACTAATTTAATTTTTTTATCTTTGGCACTCATGCAACTTTGTGTCCTTGGCAGTTAGCATTAGTGGACTTTTGAATCCACTTGTAGTTATCCTCAAAGTACAATCTTTTTTTGACTAAACAATTAAAAATATACAAATTCATTTTTATTGCAAAAACTAGATGTGACATTTGGAAGAGGGAAAGTAGAGGCTTTAACTAAGTTTTTAAGAGATTTTTGTTTCAAAAAAGGTTTGTATCAAATTCCTCCTGCATCTAAAACACATTTTTGTTCATCAAGCATTAGATAAAAAAAAAATGTTCTTAAGTAAATTTGTGAATAATTTGAGTCAAATCTAAAATCGTTTTTTGTAAAGAGGAATTCTATTTAATTAAAGAATTGTAATCGACTTTTTCTTGTTCAAAATTATTTTGTGTTTCTAAAAGTTTCTTTACATCATTTTCCAAGAAAGAATTTTTCTTTTCAGGATAAAGTGATTAAGAGCATGTTTCTCAATATTTTTAAGAATTTTAACATAAGAGGTAGATTCAACATATCAACAATTTTCACTTGAACTGACGTCATTTTCAATAGCCATGAAGCACATGTATTTTCTCTTGACTTTCATCTTCTTCATGGTCAACATCACTCTCATTCCATATTGTTTGGAGTGCTTCTTTTTAATAAATCCCTTTTTGTTTTGATGGTCGGTTCTTTTGTGTTCGAGTTTGTCACAATGATAACAAACAATCTTTTTACTCTTCTCTTCGCCCTTTCCTTCTTCCTTTTCAACTTTCATTTGAAATCTTCGGTTGTTGTGAAGACTCCTTCAATTTTTGATAAGAAGAACTAGGTCAACAAAGTTCTTCATCATTCACATTCTCACTTGAATTGCCTTCATCAGTTGCCAATTTTAATGCAATTTGTAAGAGTCTCCTTTTCCTCTTATTTTTGCTTTTACTTGATTTCTCCTTTGTCTCGTGCAATTTAGCTCATTTGTTATCAATGTTCCATAGAACTCTTCCAGTGGATATGTGTTAATATCTTAAGTATTTTCTATCAACATTCTCAATGAGCTCCAATTCTCAGAGAGAGACATAAACATTTTGCTCATAAGTTCACGTTAGTATATTTTCAATCAAATCTTTTAAGATCATTAGCAATGTTCATAAAACAAATAATTAGATCAACAATAGGTTCATTTTTTTTATAAAGAAATTTTCAAAGTTTTTAACCAAGAAAATATCTTAGTTTCTTTCAATTTGCTAGTACCCACATGAATGACATTTAAGGCATGCCAAACATCATAAGTGAAATCACATGTGATAATACGATTAAATTCGTTTTTATCTATAATACAATAAAGTAAATTTTTAACTCTAGCATTTAAAGACAATTTTCATTTATTTTCTTCATTGTACTCTTATCTAGGCTTTGAAATAGTTAGATTTGATTTACCATCAACCTTAATGATTTTTGTAGGCACATAAGAACCAAGCTCAATAACTTTCAAATATTATAATCTATTAATTGAATGTATATAATCATTCCAGTAGCTATAGTGAGTACCACCAGAGAAAGAAGAACGATTTGTAGAATATTTGTCAATATTTTTTGAAAATTGAGATTAGTCATTGCTCAAAATGTAAAATTTTAATTTCAAAATGAGCACATTGCTCTGACATCAATTGATTGCACAAGAATGGCTATTAAGTAATTTGATTTTTGAAACTTTTTCGAACAATAATTTCAAATTAAGTAAATTACAAATACATTGATCAACTTAGTAATAATCGTAAGCAAATAAAAATAAGTAAAATTGTAGAGGAGATGCAAACGATATTATTGGGATTAGTCATTGGTCAAATTGTAAAATTTTAATTTTAAAATGAGCACATTGCTCTAATACCAATTGATGGCATAAGAATGGCTATTAAGTAATTTGATTTTTGAAACATATTCTAACAATAATTTCTAATCAAGTAAATTACAAATACGTTGATCAACTAAGTTATAATCGTGAGCAAATAAAAATAAGCAAAATGGTAGAGAAGATGCAAACAATATAATTGTAGATGTTCAATCCAAATCAATGATCTACGTCCTTTGTTACTAAGCACTCGAACACTTGCATGCTTTTTCACTATATTAATTGATTAATGTTGTAATCCAAAATTCTTACAATGCTGCCAATGACTCGCAAACAGTGAGCACCGATTCTTATATAATATTGAGCTTTCAAAGACCCTCAATATGACACACACGATGACTTACAATAAAAAAAACATTGTAATATTAAGCTTTTAAGGGGACCTCAATATGATCCCACAAGTTTAAAGAAATTGTTTTATAATAAATGCTTATCTCTTAATAAACGATACAAGTAAATTAAGTACTAAAAGAGACTAACACTTCAATAAATAAAAATAAGAAAGAAGAAGTAAATGCTATGCAAGTTCAAATATTTTGCTCAAAAATATTTCTCTCGTTTATAAATGATACCAATTAAGTACCCAAAAAGAGATGATGCGCTTTGATAAACATGATGACTTAACAAGTTTGATTCAATCAATAAAAATTTTACATATAAAGAAGTAGAAGAAATGAGATCAATATAAGTTCAAAGATGTGTTCAAAATATATCTTCTTCTTCTTCTTCTTCTTCTTCTTAATAAATGATAGCAATAAGTTAAGTACCAAGAGAGAAAGATGAAAACTTTGATGAATANAAAATAATAAAATAATAAAATAAAATAAAAAAACTATATATATAGGGAAGCTCTAGCATGGCAAAACTGTTTCCACTATACAAGGTATAAACACGAGTCGAAGAATAAAAACAATTTGTACATCATTGTTTTCACGAGTCAACGGTCCCTACAATGTAACCAAAAATTTGGTTTTTATAAGCAAAAATTCCGATAACATATGAGAAGATGTCCCAACTAAAACATTATCATTACTTTCTTAGTTTTTGCCTACAAGTGTGTATTTTTGGAAAGCAACTCGGTTAACATTGAGAGAATGCAGTCTTCCATTGGCAGAGCTAACTTGATAAACATGGATAATATTTACACCAAGGGTATTCATGTTCGAGCTGCAGAACTCAAATTTGTTCCCAGTCTCCGTGCAGCACGTTGAATAGCTCTTTGCTTTTGACGTTGGTTGCGACTCTTCCTTTTACTGCATTTTCCATAGAGGTTAAGTAAGCAAAAGGACAAATAACTTCCACTGTAGCCAGAAATCTTCCAGGATTCATCTTGTATGTAAAGTCTCACATTCAACCTAATGAATCGAAGCTTAGGAGAAAAAAGCTTTCTTTCATATACAACGATGTCCAAGGTATAACTTGAACTTGTGAGAAAACATGCTCCAGGAAGAAATTTGGGTGCAAATGAAACAATCAGCATGGAATTGTCAATTCAAAAGCAACGTAAGGAAGACTACAGCCCAAAAAAGATTTATAGCGATTGAACTAAACTGTTAGACGTATGGGAATGCCCAAAGGTACAAAACACACTCACACACGCGCGCACGCATGCACACAGTAGGCCTAGGAAAAGAATTGTGACCTTGAAAATATAAGTCCTGCTGTAAGAACCATCCCTCCTACTGCCCAAGAAACTCTTACGTCAAGTGGCATTTCAGCCACCCATTGCTTGAAATCTTCAATAAACCCCGAACTCTCTTCTCTGTGTAAGATCCCAGATTTTGGAGTTCTCCATGAAGTTGCAACATAATCCAGACTAGCCTTCCCACCATAGCATGATATTCCTTCAGGATCATAAGATGACTCAACAGAAAAACCTGCCACATTGCAGAGCTCTGTTCCATTCGAGATCCATTCAGAAGCTCTACCACAAACAAGGTTGCCTAATCCACAGGGTTCTAGAACCTGACATGTAATTTGTCTAATTAAACATCAAAAAATCCACCACTTGCTGTATGCCACCATGGAAATTATCATGTACTCTATGACTTCAAAAAATTATCCAAGTCCATAAGTACCAAAAGTAGACCAAACCTGTGTTCTCGCTTCTATTGAAAAGTATGCACTAGAGCATGCCTCGTATACTCTATCACAAAAGGAGAGACATACGACTGGAGGTCCACGTTGTACACCTACTCGAGGATCACATATAGAACATTCCAAGAGCTCCCATAATTGCAAGCATTCTTGACTTGCTTGCCCAGTGGAAGCCAGCCTCCTAACGGATAGCAAAGCAGGGTGTGTCTGACTTACATCACAGCATGTCTTTTTGCGGAACACCCTGCAAAGGGTCAAATCTCTGGGGCCCTTGATTGCTTTCCTTGGAGGTTTCCCTTCATTTGAAAATGAAGGGAATCGACCACCCGGAGAAATGCAAACTTCACTAGTTTTACCTGCATTGGAAAAATCCATCAATCCATCTCAATCATCCTTCGTTATTAAGTATGGATCCATTTCAATAATTTTATTGAATACTGGATCATTCGCTGATATCCAATAAGTTATAACGAAACAAAAACTACAATAGTAAACAAGCCAAAAAATAAATCCTAACCTTCACCATGGAAAAGTACTCATGAAAATAATTTTCCATTAAATAATAGGTTCATTAATGCCATACTGAGCAACTGGACTTTCATATATATATATATATGTGTGTGTGTGTGTGTGATCATTCGGACATTTCAATTCATAGATGTAGATCTTGGACCTATTAATGGGGATATTCCCGAAACTCACACAGGAAAAAGGAAGTGAGTGAGACAAAAAGAAAAGCAACTTGGACAAAAAAAGAAGTGACTTGGACATATATATATATATATCCTGGCAAATGACAAGGTGTGTCTGTTAGCTAATAAGACCAAGAACTGTGAAGTAAGGCCTGTAAACTTCAAATCTTCTATACTGCTATTAGTAGAAGTGTACCATTTTGTGGTTGATCACTTATTTGTGGCAGCAGCAGTGGGGGCATTGGGAGCTACAGCCATGGGAGGATGGATGCGTGTGTCAACGTCTAGTTTGTAGATATTATAAAAATAACAAAAAAAAAA